ATGGGGAGCGAAACGTGAAGCCCCACCTCCTCCATCTCCCTCTGTTCCGCAGCTGAGAGGGGTGAGGAACTGGGGAGGCCTCCTCGTCCTTCGTGCTGGGGGGAGGAGGGGGGAGGAGAAGGTGATGGGGAGGTAGGGATGAGGCAGGATGGAGGGAGGATGGAGGATGGAGGATGGAGGACGGAGGACTCCCCCCTCCATCCGCCATCCTCCTCCTCGAGCAAGACGGGGGGTGCGGCCGTGGTCGAACCTCCGAGGTCAGGCAGCCAGTGCCCGTGAGCCAGAACTGGCTGGTCTCGAACCTGCTGAAGCTGTACCTGGCCCTGCTGAGGCAAGAGCTGCCCCTGGACCCCGAGACCAAGGCCGCTCCCGAGCAGCAGGAGGAGGACGGAGGAGGGCACGAGAAGGAGGGGGGGAGGAGAGGGGAGGGGTCGGGAGGAGCACGATGAGGGAGAAGGGAGGGGAGGGGGGCAGGAGGCGGAAGAGGAGGAGGAGGAGGAGGAGAAGGAGGAGAAGGAGGAATCCTCTCGCGCTCGTCCTCTTGGGATTTTTTTCCCCTCCGTCCCTCTCAGAGTTTGAGTTGTTGAGTAACGCAATAACCCTGTTGCTGATGTTTGCCGAACGTAAAGAGGAGGAGAAGGAGGAGGAGAAGAGGATGTGGAGGAGAAGGATGAGGCAGAATGTAGAGGAAATCCTAAGCGGTTCGGGGACGAAGAGAAACCGCACAGGGACAGACAATCAGGGTTTGAAGAGCTCGTGAGTCCTATTACTAGAAGCATTGCGGCAGAGAGGGAGAGAGAGGGAGGGCGAGAGGGAGTGAGAGGGAGAGAGAGAGACCACACCGAGAGAAAAGGATGTGCACGAGTCCCCGGTCTGAAGCTGGGCCAAGCAGGGGGTTAATTATGCTGGAACGATGTCGATGTGTGCTCCTTCCCTGTCCCGAGCGTGGGTGCCAGAACGCGCCGGCTCTGCCAGCCTTGTGCCTTCACGTCGTCAGGCTTGTCCCCATCCCTGCCGGGCCAGGGTTCCCTCAGCGCCACCAGCCTGCTGCCTCCAGGCGGAGACAGATGCCCCGGAGCCCGATGGCAACGGCATCTATCCCTGCCCAAGGAGGTAGGCCAGCCGTGGGGGGGGCGTCACCCCCGCCGACAGCCCCACATCGACCCCCGTCGCGGGCAGCCACCGCGCGCCGAAGGCGCTCCGGCCCCCGTCGCGGCGTGACGACGAGGCGAGGTTGACCCTCGTCGGGGGGGTACCCCCCCACGCTTACTAAGAAACCCAGGGGAGTATCCGATGGGGTTCCGAGACCCGGCGGCGCAGAAAAGTGCAACATCGTGAAGCATCGTGACGGGGGCCCCGGGCCCCACCTCACCGCGGCGCTCCTCGAGCCGGGTCGCTCCGCGAGGGCCCGGGGCCCCACAGAGGGTGCGAAGATTTCGCCGATCCTCAGGACAGTATGGGGAAACATGGGAAGTGGGGGGGGGGATGCCGAACGAGAGTCCCGAAAGCAGGAGAAGAGATCGGGAATCCTGGGCTCTGTGTGCACTTCTGTGTGTGTGTGTGTGTGTGTGTGTGTGTGTGTGTCCCTGGGCCCCCTCCGAGGTGCCGGGGGCGAACACAACGAGGCGACGCCAGGATCTCCAGGGCCACACGCCAGCGCTGCCCGAGCGCGGGAGGAGGAGGATAGGAAGAGGAGGAGGAGGAGGAGGAGGAGGAGGAGGAGGAGGAGGAGGAGGAGGAGGAGGAGGAGGAGCAGGAGGAGGAGAGGAGGAGGAGGAGAGGGGGAGAGGAGGAGGGAGGAGGAGGAGGATAGGAGGTGGAGGAGGAGGCGAAAGCTCGTTCGCCAGGCCTTCCCAGCCTCCCGCAGAGGGGCTGCTGCCCTCGCGTGGCTGGCGGAAGGTCGCGGGGCTGCTTGTGGGGTGGATTTGCGTGGCGTTGCTTGCCTGAGTGGCCGCCGCGGTCGCCGCCGCCGCCGCCGCCGCCGCCGCCTTCGTCGCCGATGCCGCCACCGTCGCCGTCGTCGTCGCCGTCGCCGTCATCGTCGCCGTCGTCGTCGGCGTCGTCGTCGGCGTCGTCGTCGTCGCCGTCGTCGTCGTCGGCGTCGTCGTCGTCGCCGTCGTCGTCGTCGGCGTCGTCGTCGTCGTCGTCGTCGGCGTCGTCGTCGGCGTCGTCGGCGGCGGCGGCGGCGGGCGTCGGCGTCGTCGGCGGCGGCGTCCTCGTCGCCGTCGTCGTTCACAGCTGCTCCTCCCTCGGCGGGCCCGCGGCCGCGCGTGCCGGCACCAGCGACCCGCGGCTCCCGTGCGCTCCGCCCCGGGTGCCTTCGGGCCAGCAGCCCTCGCAGGATGGGTCCTCGGACTCGAGTTAAGTCGGGCGTGTCCCCCTGCAGGGGAATTTTCGACGGAAAAGAAAATTACCTGGGATGTCAACAATAAGTTCTAAAGTTATGAACTTAGACTTACGATCCAGACGGCAGAAGTAAGAACTTAGGCATGTCAACGAGATCAACCGTTGATCGTATGTGAAATCAGATGAGGTGGCGGGTATTTTCGAAAGCACGCGTTTTTTCTTTTGTCGGGCTGCGCTCTGTTTTCGAACTGGTGCAACTTTTTTGGATGAGAATTGACGACCTGCGCAGCCTTTTTGATTGGGAACCGACGAGCTGCGCAACCTTTCCGCTTCGTCGGGCTTTTTGGTAGAGAATTGACGACTTGTGCAGCTTTTGAATTGGGAACCGATAAGTTGTGCAACCTTTTTCGTTTTTGTTTTGTCGGGCCGGGCTCGGCTTCGAAGTTGTGCAATTATTTTGAAGAGAATTGACTACGTGTGCAGCTTTTTGATTGGGAACCGACGAGTTGTGCAACTTTGTTCGTTTTGTCGGGCCGGGCTCGGTTTTCGAAGTTGTGCATTTTTTTTTCAGAGAGAATTGACGACTCGTGCAACTTTTTTTGATGGGGAACCGACGGGTTGTTCAACCTTTTCCGTTTTGTCGGGTCGGTCTCGGTTTTCGAATTTGTGCAAGTTTTTTGAAAGAGAATTGACGACTTGTGCAGAATTTTTGAAAAAGAAAAGCTGCACAAGTTCGAAAACCGATCCTGGCCCGACAAAACGGAAAACGTTGCACAACACGTCGGTTCCAAATAACAAAAGTTGCAGCAGTAGTCACTTCTTTGTCAACAAAGCTGCCCAAGCTCGGAAACCGATCCCGGCCCGACAAAAAGGAAAAGGTTACACAAACCGTCGGTTCCCAATCCAAACAAACTGCACATGGCGTCAGTTCACTTCCAAGAAAGCTGCGCAACTTCGAAACCAAGCCCAGCCCGACACAACAAAAAGGGTTGCGCGACCCGTCGGTTCCCAATCAAAAAGCTGCACGAGTCGTCAGTTCTCTGTCAAAAAACTGCACAAGTTCGAAAACCGAGCCCGGCCCGACAAAACGAGAAAGGGTTGCACAACCCTTCGGTTCCCCAAGAAAAAAGCTGCACAAGTCGTCAATTCTCTACCAAAAAAGCTGCACAACTTCGAAATCCGAGCCGGGCCCGACAAATCGAAAAAGGTTGCACAGCCCGTCGGTGCCCAATCAAAAGGCTGCACAAGTCGTCAATTCTCTTTCAGAAAAGCTGCACAAGTTCGAAATCCGATCCTGGCCCGACACAACGGAAAAAAGGTTGCACAAGTCGTCGATTCTTCATCAAAAGAATTGCACGAGTCGTCAATTCTTTTTCAGAAAAGCTGCGCAAGTTCGAGAACCGATCCTGGCCCAACAAAATGGAAAAAGGTTGCACAACCCGTCGGTTCCCCATCAAAAAAGTTGCACAAGTCGTCAGTTCTCTGTCAAAAAAGCTGCACACCTTCGAAAACCTAGCCCGGCCCGACAAAATAAAACAAATTGCGCAAACCGTCGGTTCCCAATCTCAAAAGCTGCACAGGTCGTCAATTCTTGGCCAACAAAGTTGCACAAGTTGGAAAACCGAGCCCAGCCCGACAAAACCAAAAAGAGTGCGCGACCCGACGGTTCCCCACCATCAAAACTGCACCAGTCGTCAATTCTCGGTCAAAAAAGCCGCGCAAGTTCAAACATCAAACGCCCGGTCGCGCGCGTCCGCGAACTTACAGAATGTACGGGCCCGGCGTTAATTTAGTCGATTTTTTGATTTACGAACTTGAACTTAAGTCGAGGGGGGCGTTAACATCCCAGATTACCCCCAAAATACCCCAAAAAGGTAAACAAATATTCGAAAAATAGTCCCCAGACTATTTTTGGAGTATTCTTTGATTATTTTTTTTCCGTCGAAAATCCCCCTGCAGGGGGACAGGCCCGACTTAACTCGAGGCCGTTTTCTTTTGTCAGCTGCGAGAGTGGAGGCTGACGCGTTGCAACAGCCAGCGGGCCGCGCCAGGCTGCGGGCACCGCAGTGCGGACGGCAAGGAGGGGGCTTGGCATCGCTCGGACGTGTGCACGTCCTCTCGGCGAGGACCATTGATGACGAACGAACAACGCACACACCCATACCCATAGGGAGGTCGTTGGGAGGAGGACTGGCTATGGGTATGGGTGCGGGTTGTCGGACCCTGGGGAACGCTCCCGTTCGAGCGGTGACCTCCATCCGACAACACGCACCCATGGCCCTCTCCGATGCCCCTATGGGTGCGGGTGTGTGTTGTTGGCTCGTCAATCGAGGAGTGCCCTGGGCCATCGAGCCAAAAGGGCACGCAGGAGACCGGAAGATGCACCGCGACGGGGCGCCCCGGCGATGGCGAGGGGGAGGGCGGCAGGGAGGGGGCTTGGCATCACTCGGACGTGTGCATGTCCTCTCGGCGAGGACCATTGATGACGAAAGAGCACGCGCACGAGCCCGGAAAAATCTCGGCAAGGAGTATCTCGGCGAGGAGTATCTCCTGGGCCATCGAGCCAAAAGAGCACGCGCACGAGACCGGAAAAATATGCACTGCGCCGGGGCGCCCCGGCGATGGCGGCGAGGGGGGAGGGCGGCCGCGGAAGA